ACCGGAAAAATCAGTTATCCGGAATAGCGATGGTCCCGATCGTTCCGGATAATCGGTTCCTTACTGTATAATCGTATCACAAAAATATAAAGAATTTAATTGTCATTGTTTATGCTCAACCTTTTTGTCACATTTATTTTGAGAAGAATTATCATTAACATTTTCTCACTTTTTGTCATATTTGGTTTGGGAAGATTTATCAGAAACAGTTCCATGGTAAATTTTTTCAGTTGGCAGTTTCATTTCATTACTATTATATTTAGAATGATTACTATACTGATTGAAACCAGCTCTATATAGGTAATTATAATTTCGTCCCATATCCTGCGCTGTCCCCCTGTTGATCAGTCTGATATCGGAACTGTCCCGGACCACTCTGATAATTATTTGTAAAATTTCTTTTTACTTGTGGTGCATTATGTGCAACACGTCTCTGCAAAGTAGGAGAAAATTGTTTTGGTTTAGTACCTGTTTGTTTATTAATACCAAATCTTAAAGATTGAAATTCATCTAGTTTTTCTGCAAAACTCAAAGAACTATTCATAGAATTCCATGTATCAAGAAAATGTTGCTTTACTTCATTTGGTACTCTAGTTTTAATTTAGTTAATAATAATTAATTCTTTCAATTCTTTAAATGATTCTATCTTAAGCTCAGCTGACCAATCATTGAAGTAAGCAGATATTTCATTGCAAAAATTGTGCCAAGAATCTTGAGATTTTTTATGAGTTGAAAAAAATTTAAATCTTAATTGCTCTGGATTAAGTTTATACCTTTTTAATAATAAGGTTTTAATCTGTGAATAATCACGAGCCAATTCACCCCATTCCTGTGTAAGTTGGTTAACAATATCATGGGGTAACAGATTCAATAAATAAATAACATATTCAGTTTTGTGAATATTAGCTACCGTATATTCCGGCGTATAACGCGCACTTTTAATGCAAAAAATAACATTGGAATTTACGGGTGCGCGTTATGCGCTGGAATATATGGTAATTTGGTCTCAGTTTCAAAATTTTTTAAATACACAAATATCTCATCCTTATGGGGGTCAAATGGTTGTGACAATTTCATTAAAGAAATGTTTACATTAGATGAATTTACACTTGAACATTTTTCCTTATCATTACTTTGAAAACTTAATTTATAGAGTTCAAGTTTTTCATTTTTAGTTTTTAAAGTTTTTAGTTCTTGAATTTCTTTCTTTTCTTCTAACATACGATTTACAATTTCTTTGGTTAACCTCTCATTGTAATTCTCATCTGATGTTTTTTTTTCTTTCTGATTTCGGAAACTGGTTCGGTATCACTTCTTAATATTCTTAACTCATCTGCCAAAACAATTAAATTAGCTTTTACTAATTTACCTAAATAGGATATATCTTTGTTATTATTTTCTAGACTTAAAACCTTTTCTCTTAAAAGTTGTAATTCTGATTTTTCCCATTTTTCTTCTAAAATTCTATTAACTATTTCTTTAGTTATAGATTCGTCATAATTTTCTTGCGTTAAAATTTTATTTCCTCTCACTGTAACTGTGTTATTTTCCTTTAATTCTAAATCCAATTCTTTCACTAAATTCACCAGTTCCGATTTAAGTAGTTTCCCAAGATACGACATTTTTCGCAATATTAATTATCAATAACTTGAAAATAAGATACTTATTTTTGCAATAAGAGAAATCAAAATCAATTGGAAAGAAAAATCAAAGTATTACATTTTTAAAATACCAACACACTCTATAATAAAACATAATTTCTATTTATAACTATCATCAACAAAATTATTTTCAAAACTTACCAATCTTCATCTGTTCAAGGTTTAAAACGCGAGCGCAAAATAAAAAAAAACACCTAACAATAAACACCCATTTGTCTTCATCCTCGAATCTTCAATATTTTTCTCCTGCAAGAAAGTTAGTCCTTTTCCTAGGGCGCAGCAAAAACAGTCCAGGCAGGGGTGGCGAAGGTCATCACTTCGGCGAGCACACAGGGCGGAAGTAAGGACATCTCTCCTTCCTTTCGCTTTCGAGAGGCGGCGAAGTTCACTATCGGATCTCCATCGGACTTCAGGGGTGCAAGAATAGGAAACAGATTTCCATGCATCAGACTTTCCGTTCCAACCAGAGAAGGGGACAATAACAGGAGTTCATCAATCTTTTAAAATTGAATTTCTTAATTCCAGTTCATTTGTTCAAAGCAAAAATCCTTGCAATAATTTATAAATCCACGTTTATATGTTTCCCGGCAAAAATTCCTTCTATTCTAATTCATAGGTTTCCCGGCTGAAAATCCTTGCTGTCTTTCCTGTCTTGCCTTCTTCCTGTAATGATTTCTCTCTGTGTATTTGTACAGTACTTTTGAGTCGAGTCGTTCATTTTATCATAATATTGCAGTCTATAATATTTTCAGTTGTAATTCAATATACTTTTTTATAAGGATGACAACATAATAATTTTTCTAGGCTCTTATTGAGGAAAAAAGTTGAAAAGCTTTTTACAAATTATATACATGGAGCAGAGCTCCTGGACACAAATTTACTAGGCCATTTCCAAAAGACAAGGGCTCGTTTTTTTCCAAGTAACATACAGTTATTCTTTCATGTCATGTGCTCTATAATATCCAGACTTCTTTGTTAGAATTGACGCTGTAACATCATACGACCGGATGAGGATGAATTAATATCTCAAAATATTTATTGATTTTAATGGGAATTCGGCTTCATTAAGATATTTTACTGCGCAGTATGGACTCATTTTATAAATAAAGATTACATTGCTGTTCAATTTATGTTTAGTTAATTATGTGAAAGAGATTATTTAAAGTTCTCATCTGTTAGAAGGGCTAGTCTACAATTAAAATATAATTCCTTTTAGGTTCAATTTTAAAATCCATTTAATTCTATTAAGCTTTTATTTTAGATGTTACATATATATATATATATATANATATTAATATATATATATATATATATATAAATAAATAAAGGGCGTCCCAAAGTTAATAAGGTTTGAATTCAATAGAAAACACAGTTTTTAGTCTTTAGATTGTGATTTTTTCATTGAGTCACAAAGTACATAGGACAGAGTTAGTTATAGAATAACACATCCGGCAAATGTCCTCCAAGGCCTTGCTGGCACATACAATCTCTTTTGTCATAATTTTTCTGCATAATTGTGGCTGAATTTTATTGACGCAGCTTTTAATTTCTTGTAATGCACAGGTGGTTGTGGGCTTGTTGACAAAGACCTTTGACTTCAAATAACTCCTTAAGAAGAAATCTAATGGTGTTAAATCATATGATCTAGAAAACCAATTCTGATCACCGAAACGAGAGAGTACATGACCAAGAAATATCTCCTCCAGTAATTGAATTGTTTCACTGTCTGTATGGCATGTGGCACCGTCTTGAACGCTCCTTTTTTACTAACTCTAAACTCTCAGCTGTCAAATTGTTCTTTTTTCGGGGTTTCCAACAATTTACTGCAAAAGTGGCGGCGAATTCAAATCTTGCATTAATTTTGGGGCACTCTTTATAACTATATGTATATATAAATTTTTACATTAGTTTAAATATTTGTTTTAACATAGTGTCCTCCTCCTGAACAAAAGTTACAGGGGTCCAATAAATTAGTACAAGTTTTTAAAGCTAAAACTGCATAAATTTCACTCATCTAACAGATCTCATTTTTTTTGAGAAAATAAGAATAAAACATCAATCTATAACACTTAGCATCTTATATTTAAATGTAAAGCATTTGACATGTAACATAACTGATAATTACTGCATAATAAAGCAATTAGATCAACTTGGCAAATTTTATTAAACAAAAGTTCTGAAACTTCAACACATTTCCAACAAATTAACAATGTTTTGGAAAAATTTGAAATTTCATGTAAATTGTATCCTACTTGTAACAGCTATGTCTGGAATTTAAATTTGAAAATAATTATCAGAATTTTGATATAAAGGTTAAGAAATCAGCATACCTTAAAGGTTTTACCTTTAAAGTATGTGTTTGTGAGTAGTAGGTAAATTTCTCTTGTGTTAATGTTTGCATTTCTGCCTCTGCATGCATAATTTTTTTCTTATATTTATTTTAGTTCTCCTTATTACTGATTATTGAAAGATGAGTCGTTTTCTTTATTTTTCAATGAAAAAGATTACTTCCTATTAAAATTAAGACATTAAGTTATACAAGAAAAAAAAGTTAATAAACAGTTTACTCTGTTTTAAAGGGACTTTTTCTTTATAAGCACCAAGTGCTCATGTTATTTTAAATTGGTTACATATATATTTATTACTATTATAAATATCTTGCAAAGGGATTTTAGTGTAGCTTTGTCACAGATGCTAGCCTGAAAAAATTCTGTCTTGGGAAACTTTAGTTATAATACAAATATTTTATTAAAATTAAAGCTAAATCAGTTGTATGCCCTTTATAATAATAAAAGCTATTCAAATTTTCATTCTCATTAATAGTTTACAATTTTTTTATTACTATTTTTTAAAAATATGTATGCATGTTTTCATTAATAATAAAATTGATTTAAAGACTTCATATTTCTTAGAAAAATATACTGTTTTACTCTATTACTTTATAAATTTATTAGTTATAATTATTAAAAAATTTATTAGTAATGTAATTTTTAAAAACTTATAAGATTACAAAAATGTAATATTTAAGAATTTTAGGGGTTGGTATTTGACATAGCAGTACATATTAACAAAATGTTTAACATTAACTCAAAACGTTTACAAACAGTTAACTTTGACTGAACCAGTCAGAAACCCTAACAACTCTGCTTTTTATTATGTAAACATTTAGAAAACATTTATTTTGTATCGTGATTTAATTTTTTTAAGAAGAGATTTACGTTTTTAAGAAAAGTTTAACTTTATATACATACTCTGTTATTTTTTTTTTGATTAATCTCACCTTTTTTAAATAATTTATTTCATACATTAAACAAATTAACAAACTATGTATTATGTTAGGTTACCTCCAGATTGCCACCATTCTAAACGACATACACATAAATGTCATTATGGAAAATGCCCTCCCTGTCGTTTACCTTGCTGTCAAGTTTTAGAGTGTGGTCATACATGTCCTGCTAAATGTCATTCTGCTGTCATTACAAAAGTTGATACAAAAGAGGTAAAATTTAAATAATAAATTTTTTTTAAAATTGAATATGCAATTGTTTATCATATACATTAAAATTGGCATTTGTTGATAATTTTTCATGAAAATCATTTTCAAAAGTAGTGTAATTTTCAGTACATTATTTGCAGCAGCATATCAAATATTGTCCTCCTTTATAGATATATTTAATTATAAAATTGAGAACCTATTATTCATCTTGACTTTATGCAGATTTGTAAGATAAAGTAAAAAGAGAGAATAAAATGAAATATATGTTTTAAAAATTATAGTTATCTACTTTTATAAAAAAACATTTTCCAGATGATTTTTTACTTTATTTCACAGCATTTGAGTTGAAATACAATATGATATTAATGAGCCTTTCTTGATCACCCTGCAGGTGTTTTAAATTAAAATACTACGAAAATCTAAAAAAGTTTTTCTTCTGTTCTGAAGAAAAGGAATTTTGATGATTTTAATTTTCAACTTATATCCCTCTCCATGCATTCAATCATAAGTTGATGGACAGCTTAATGTAATGAATAACAATAAAAGCAATTATCAAAGTGTCTGTCAGTAACATACGAAAAGAAAAAGTGTTAAGAAAAAATAAGGCATGTATTGAGGTGATCTCTAGTCATAGTCACAAAAATAAAAGAAATAATCATAGTAGAATGTGCTTCACTGTTCTCTTAATTATCAAACTATAAATAATTTTTAAATGCTTCAAATACCATTTGAATTTAATAATTGCTGTATAGTTAATTTAAAAATTTGTTATATTATACAACTTAGTTTGAATTTTTTTAATTGAAATACATAATTTTTGCAACTTTTTATATTTTTTCGGTAAAATAATTCCTTGATAATAAGTATGTGCTACAGAAGTCTACAAAACATTCTACCACATAAATTGTTAATATCATAAAGATTCAGAAAGCATTGACTTAGACTAAATATTTAATACCCATCTATCCCAAATTTTATTAGCCGTAAATCTCAAGTTAGTTAAATATTTAGGATCTTATAAAAATAATATGGCATAGCATTTCTTTCAGTCAGTGCAGTATTATGAAAGATTTAGAATTTCAGCTTTTATTAATTAAAAATTATAAAAAAAAGTAGGAATTAAGATTTAAAAATTATTTTATTTTGGTACCTTTCAAAAAGTTGGGATGTGAACAATAATGTAAACTACAGTTACTTTTTGATTCTACGCATACTTATGTTATTAATTCATTCTTCAAAATATTCCTTCACATCATTATCTTAAATAATGAATTAATGGGAAACCTATCAGCAGTGCACTTGTTATGCAATTAAGACTGATCACTATTTCATGTGTAAAAGAGCAAAGAAATACTTTAAAAATGAATAAATAAATTTAAGGTACTAACTTAATCTGTTTTTCTGTTAAAATAGTTACATATTTTTTATTATGTTTGAACATGCATCAAACATTAGAATATTTTTCTAATTAGAACTCTTTTACTTAGAGAATTGCAACTTTTGTAATGCTGCCATTTGTTAAAGATATTAGCTAGTAATTAGCTTTATTTTCTTACTTTTATTTTTTTACACCTGGAAACAATTAATGAAAAAATATTGACTCAGTTGACTCCATAAATGTCCCAAATAAGTCAGTTAATAAAAGTTATTTTTAAGATAATTTTCAGAAAATGTTTTCAAAAATTTATGTTACTTAATGTCAGTAGACAGCATTATAAAATAACTCTAAAATTTCTTATGTGAATTAAATTTTAAATTATTGTTACCAAACCTTTCAGTTTTAAGCTGCACCATGTTCTCACTTTATGAACACTCTTGTTTTTTACCACTTCAAAGTTTCAGTCATTTTTGTATTTAATCATATTTCTGGACAGCTATCATAGTTTTTTTTTCTTTACCTTCATCAATGCCAATTTTGATAAGCTTTTCTTTTTATTAAGGCACGACAATTTTTAAGAAAGTAAAATAATATAGATGAACAAGATTTTCAATACTCAAATTTATGCAATTTTCATATTAAAATTTGTTGCCAAAAAGAAAAGGAAATAATTTTGCTTACTACCATACTGCATGCAGGAAATTTAACTAGCAAATTCAATAAAATAAAGTTTGTCTAAATAAATTTAAAATACTCTACATAATGCTGTATGTAGTAACTTAAATTTGTTTCATGTTTTCTCCATTTTTAGCTATTTTCTTTCATTAAATATATAAGTGATGACATCCTCATCATTTTCTTAATTAAATATAATTTGATTTATATTACAGAAAATGGAAGGGCCTTGGGATTTACAAAATGCTTTTAGATTTGAATTAGTTTCCAAACCTTGTCCATCTTGCCTAATACCAGTTCAAGTGAAGTGCTTAGGTGGCCATGAAGTAACTAATTAGATTCTGTTTATTTTCATTCTTTTGTGCATGTATGTTGTACGTATGTGATGAGTGTGTTGAATTATCAAATATTCTTGATTTTACATTAAGTGTCAATAAAATAGTCCTCGTAAAAAAAGGTAGAGCTATATGTGTAGATGCATATACATATATATTTATGTAATATGTATATATACCTACGTATGTATATGTGTATCAAGTGATTGCCTTCCAGAGCATGGGTAAAGATAGAAGTACATTAATAAATTAATAAAATTATAACTCATTCAGTTGTGGTGGTCTTTGGAATAAACAGTGCAATTATGACTTGAATAACTGTACAGGGTGTCATAGCAAACTTTTTCTTCAGGAAGGAAGAAAAATTATTCGAAAAATGTCAAAGAAGTTGATATATGCTAAAGAAGTCTGTTTCAAAACATGCATTTCTTTGTTTAATTGTGCAAAATTTTGGCATTGTGCTTTCGAAAACAAAGAGTGCTTTAAGTCTGAAACATCCTGAAGTTACAAGATTAAATTTTTGTCTAGAGAAAATTAAGAATGTAAGCTGACCCCTGATTTCAAAATCACTTTTTGTTGCAGTGAAAACATTCTCAAAATAATGTATGTCACCATAGGTAAAATAGTTAATAAAAAGTAAATAGGTATAAAAAGTTTTAAATTAGATGGTCCAGAGGAGTATTCATATAATTGGAAGAATTTGCGAACAGGGGAAAAAATATCTTTAAAAAAATTTTTTTTTAGGAAGATGCTTCATGATCTGGGCAGGCTGCAGTTAAACATTTGCTTTACATATTTTGGATAGCAAGGTCTATCAAATAATTCTACAGGACAGGCTCATTCTGTTTTTGAGGAAGTATAAAAAATGTAAACTTGGTTTTCAACAAGACAATGCATATATACACTATAATGCAAGCACAAGTAGCTGGCTCAATCAAATTAAAATTGAAGTTATGGCTTGACTAGCTTGCTCCCTAGACTTAAATCCAATGGTGAACCTTAGAGGGGTAGTAAAAAAGAATTTTGTGAACAGTCGTCAATGCAATAATAAAAATGATTTGCTACTAGCAGTACAAAATTCTTTTAATGAAATAGATATAAAAACCTTAAAGTAACTTTTTAATAGTATCTCAAATAAAGTATTTTGAGTTATTAATCAAAATAGTGGATCATGTTACTATTAATATGTTTTGTTGAAAATTGTGAATTTAAAAAAAAATTTTCTTGAAAGGTGTGTATTTTGTGTCAATTAGTTTTAAAATAACTATTTATTTCATGACTTATCCAATTTACATTGAATAGTTTTATTTTTAAATTATCTCATTGAATACTTTTTCTCATTGAATACTTTTTCTAAAAAGCAGTTAATAGTTTTGATAAAGATAACATAGAAAATGAAATTTATCAGAAATTGATTGGGTGAGTATAATTTTGCATCACACTGTATTGCATATACAGGGCATAGCAAAACTAATGGTCACAACTGTAAGGGATGATAAAACTTGTCAAACCAAACTATGTTCACTATGCAATATTAAGTCAGAATGCAAAGCATGAGCAATAATTGGGTGCTAGCTTGGTGAAATTATCTGGTCTTTGCCTTTCTAAGCACATGAATTTGCTATGCAGGGTCTTTCTTTCTGTCACCTAGAGCTCATTCTCAAACTTGATCCATAAAGTTTTTCACAAGGACGTCTTAAAAAGTGGCATTTTGGAGAATTTCAAGTTACCAGAGAAAATAACTTTTGAATTTACTTCAGAGCTACAGAGGTTAGTGAAAAGCCTAAAATCTTTCAACAGATCTGTGATTCACTCCATTATTTGTGTGAAGTGTCTGCTTTAGTTTTTTATTCAAGCATTTGTTGTTAAGGTTTCAATAATTAAGATTATTCGGCTTTTATTGTCCATTTTTATTTTATTCTTCATTTTAACCGAGCAGGCACTTTTTTGTGGTTTGTTCTTCGCCTTCCAACTTCACACTGGATTCAATAAGTTGTTTATAATTCTTACATTCATGACCAATACTTTTGTTACTGTATACATTTTCCCAATATGTATACACTATACTCTTACCTAACTTGGAGTTCCATTTTGTATATGCTGAAGCTTATAATATTTAAAAAGTGCGGTTATTTATGAAAGTAACCTTACTAGCAAGCATGGATTCGATTTTAAGTGAATCTCTGTGACTTTAAAGTTGGTTTTCAATATAATAAGTTTTATTATAATGAATGATAATTGGGTGAAAAACTACATAATATAATACAACTTATTGTTTTAGGTTTAAAAAAAAATATACATATAAACAATAAGGCTAGTACTACCTAAATTTGCCATCCATCCATCTTTTTTTTTTTTTTTTTTTTTTTTTTTTTTTTTTTTTTTTGATTTAAGAAAATTTTTGCCCAACTGCATGCAGAAGTGCATTTGTGATTTTAAATGTGCCTTATTTTGGCAAATATCTGGAATAAATTAAGAGTTGATTAATTATAGGTTTAAACAAGTAAATTCAATAAACATGAACATAAAAATATGATTGTCAGAACTCACTATTACGAAAATACAGAATTATAAATAGTTCTGACATCATTTGTAACAAACCAAAATAGAGCATAAATAGTTTTTCAATTGAATTATAATTAAAGAATGGCATTAATAAACTATTCTTTAAAGTGATATAAATATTCTGAAAGATAGTTTTTGATAAATTTTATTTAAAAACTTAAGTATTTGTAACATTTGCTCATATTTTTCTTCGTGTTGATTATTTATTTATTATTTTGATTATCAATTCTTTAAAACTAGTGTGAGTATTAAAATTTATCTAGGAATATTGTGCTGATTTTAATTTTTTGTAAAATCACCAAAAAAAAAAAAGAAAAAAAAGATCACAACCCCTGAATGTATTCACCTGAAATATTGTTTGTTTCAATAGTATAATTGAGTTTCAATAGCATAATTATCATTGTGTGGCATGAATGAGTTGAGTTTAAAGTTTTAATTTAAAAAGTTTCATATTCTAATTTATAAATAAAAAGTTTTAAGAAAATTTTATCTTTTTAAAAGCATATAAGTCAGTTACCAATTTAAAATAAAAACATCAATGAAAAAACTAACCCGTTTTTGGAAGAAAAAAATAACAGGTCAGTACTATTCAGAGTGTACATAAAATCTTATGAGCAACGTGTTAAAACTGAATGTTTTTATTAGGACAAAAATAGAGGTTTTCCTCTACTTTTGTCCAATAAAAGCAAAACATATTCTGATATCTTGCTTTAACATTTCTGCTTGATTAAAAGAAGTTGCAATGTGTTTTTCTAAAATTATATTATTAAACTTATTTTGTGTTTGTTTTTAGAATACTTTTATTCCTTGCTATAATGCTAAGTCAGTGTCATGTGGAAAACTTTGTGACCGGGCTTTGACTTGTGGAAATCATCGTTGTAAACTTGAATGCCATGATGTGAAAGATAGGACTAACTTTGAAGTAACTTTAATTTATTTTGTTTGCCATATTCTTTTTTACCCAAGCATTGTTTATGTATTTTTATTTGCTATTTTTAAATAATGACTTCATTTTATTTAACAATAAAACTAACAGGGTGGTCAAATGACAACTTTTAATGCAAGGTAACACATGGCACAAGGTGATATATGTGATCTATTGGATACTGACTGTTAGTCATTCAACATGGATATTAAAGAAGACATTTTGGAAATAAATAGGCAGGGGACAAAAATTACATTCTTATCTAGTTCCAAAGACAAATATGAAGAGAATGAACAGAATATTGAAACTTCAATTGATTGAACTGTTTAGCAAAAGATTTAACATGGTTTTGGAACTGGAAGATCCTCATTTCATACTATTTAAAGAGAAATATCAGGATCAACAGTATACTTTATGCACAATTTTCTGAAGGATAAAGATAGGAATGCATTTTTGTTGAAAACTTGACCAGTTTATTTTGAATTGTGTGAAAATGTGCACAGAATCAGAAGCACGTCGAGGTTTAAGATCTGAATGTAGTCTAACTGCATCAGATTTATGTGTTTTTAACGCAATATTATATGCACATGGTGCTTCTAAAACAAGATTTTAGAACATTTCATATTTATAGAATAAGAAATGGAGCCCTGCATTCTTTTCACTAACAGCAAGCAGAAATTGTTTTACAGAAATTATGCGATTTATTCACTTTGATAGAAGTGAACTGAGTAGAACATTAGCAGACTTAAAAATTTGTTCTCATGTTTGAAGTATGGAATACATTTATAGAAAAAACCAAAACAGCTACATACCTTGTGCAAATATTACTGTTGATAAACAGTTATTTGCAACAAAAGCAAGATACAGATTTACATAATATCTGCCCAACAAACCTGATAAGCTTGGAAGTAAATTCTGGAAGGCATCAGATGTTGAGAGTTAATTTATTGTGAATAGATTCCCGTATTTTAGAAAAAATTAGATCACACCTTCAGCTTTACCACTTAATGAATTTGTTGTTCTCAAGCTCGCTGAACTATTTACAGGGTGTGGAAAAAATTTAACCAATAATTTTTTACAAGTACATCTTTAGTAACAAAACTTCTATAAAGAAGCATTAACTTTGTACAAACTATTCAAGTGAATGCCCTAACTTGCTTTACAAAAAAATACAATATAGCACTTTTTTCAATCCAGCTTTACAAATGAAATTATTGTACTCTGACAGTTTACAAAATCAAGTTGAACAAAAAAATTCTACTAAATTCAAAACTTACATTTCTAAAATTGAAAAAAAGATTTAATGTATACCCAACACTATTGTTTTTTTTATAACAATTCTATATTTGGCATGAATATGCTATAATTTTTGTAACCAATTCTTTTGTTATTATTTTATAACTTAAAATTATTCCAATTCAGTTGAACTTGCAATTAATTGTTAAACAAATTTTGAGCTAATTTCAACCAATGAGAGACATTTTTCAGTGAATAATAAGTCAACATTTACCCTTTAAAGTAATATTTAGAAGTCATTTCCATTTCTGGTTCAACTACCGAACTCCCAACAACCTCTTCCAAACAAGGTAATTCTGACAACACTGTTTCATGATATGTAGTTGAAAACTTATAACTTAGAAAAGACTAAAGTCCATGATGTGGATATACTTCTTCAAACACGAAATCCACCTTATAAAAGTTGAAAGCAAAGCTTGCTTCGAAAAATATTTTATAGAATATAAAATATTTTTAAAAATATCCAAAGTATACAAGCTAGTATAAACATGTATGCCTGCTTAATACTAAATATATGTGCATCAAAGATAAACAAACTTTATGTGCATTGATAAAAACAAATTTCTCTCATAATGAGTTGCTGTGAACAAGCAATAATTGAAATCAATTTCTATATTAGCTTTATCATGGATTGACATAATTTTGCACTAAATTTATGTATTTGAGCAAGAAGCTTTAAAGTTTCAAGTTCACAAGCATTAAAATCTATTTTATTACCATGCTACATAATTTTAAAATATTTCATACAAACTTTATTTTAAAATTCTAGTTCACATTAACTTTTTTGATCACTAATTTTATAGATCATTCTAATATCTTTTTAAAGAAAAATATTCAGAGAATGAAACCTGCCGATAGACATGCACTTTTTATGCATAAAATGTCTACATATTTATACTTTACTAAGGATAAGATCTAACATCCCCTTAAATTCTGTTTTCTGGGAGCTATCCGAGCATGCAGAGTAGTTTTCCTTGCCCTTGTCTTTCCTCTCTCTTGGTTATAAATTATTTATTTTATGTTTTCAGTTTCTTTTAATCACTTCAAAGATTTAAGACGTTTGTAGAATCCATAGATTGTGAGATTCAATCTGTAATATATATATACTCAGATTTATAGTGAAGTACTATAAGCATTTGCTTAGGCTAGAACAAGTGTGCAAAATATAACTGGCTTTTGTCTGCTTTTAATGTTGTTTTGATAAGACAAGTTAGCAATCAAATTAGAAGGAAAAGATGCTTTATTCAATCCCTGTTTTTTGATGAATTTCCTAAAATTCAAGAATTGTACTGCTTAAGACAGTTTTCCACTGCTTATGTTTATTGTATGCCAGACTACAATTTGCTTTAGCCAGACTACATTGTATGCCAGACTACAATTTGTGATAATTGTGAGAGTTGCTCTGAAATCTGCCAGAAGCCAAGAAAGTGCATTCCACTGCTTATGTTTATTGTATGCCAGACTACAATTTGCTTTAGCATGTAACGATTGACTATGAAAAGTCAGCACTTTCAGACTGATAAAAACTCACAAAAAGTTGTAAACAAATGGCTGTTATCACTCTCAATATTTTTATTTGAGGAAGGTGTTAGTAAGCTGTTCACCTTCAATGTCAAATATCTATGAAAACAATGTAGAAAAGTGACTTTTCATGTAGCATAAAATTGGTTATTATAAAACAGAATGTATTGAATGTAATTAAAATGTTACCCTAATAGTATGAAACAATTTCTTATTTCTTGTAGGAAAGTGATAATTGTGAGAGTTGCTCTGAAATCTGCCAGAAGCCAAGAAAGTGCATTCATCCATGTTTACTCCCTTGCCATCCAGGTCAATGCAAACCTTGTAACCAACGCATAAAAATGAAATGCCATTGTCAGATGACTCAGCTTTATGTTTTATGTGATGAATGGAGTTCAAAAAATGAAAATGAATGCATCAGTATGCTAAGTTGCTTAAACCGTTGTCCTAAGCAGGTAAAGAAATTTATTATAAGGTATTCACTGTTTGTAAATGTATATATAATGTTTAGGCCATGATACCTATGGGAGTACTGAATTGGAGATTGATCATTATCTGGTTCAAGTCAAAATTACAATGTGTGGGTGAAAGAATGGATGAATGGGTCTGCCCTATAAATGAGTTGTGACATATGTGTGTGGCAGAAGACTAATGCTCGGCTATAGATGGCGCCACTGGAAAACAAGAAGTGCTTCTTTGCCTTAAATGCATAGACAACAAAAATGTATAAGGCCATGAAAATGTTATTGTTCTATACCAACATAGAGTAATAAAATTCAGTGATAGATTGATCAAAATCAATTCGTTTGAATTGGAAAAAAATGTAACAATAGTTAAGAAATTTTTTCATTTATTTAAGTAATGTTACAAAATTTTTAGTTGTGAAATGTCTAAAACTATAAATTAATGACATTTAATTAAAAGTTAAATAATATGCATTACAAATAGCATTGTGTCTAAACATGGCAACTTGTTATGTTTTATGGTTGAAATTAATGTGTTATTGAAACAGGCACATGGAAAAAGTGAACTGATTGCGCATAAATTCTAACTTAATTGCAACTTTCTTCCAAAAATGTTTAAAATTTAAAAGATAAACATCTGAGAAGTTCAGATAATGGCAAAAACTTGTTTTTTTTAAAAAAAAACTGAACATTTCATTTTATAGGAAATAATTTTAATGTTATTTAATCTTCCAATCAAAACTTTCGCTGTAGAAAAAAAGTAATTTTCAACAGAGATATTTGTTTAATTTTCTAAGATATATTACAGAAAAATATTCGCCTCTAAGCTTCAAAGTTTTTTAATACAACTTAAAAATTAATCATCTTCACACAAAGGACTAATTTTCATGTATCAACTGCAAAATTAATAGTCTTTGGTACATAGTTGTTTGTCCCTTTAAAAATAATTTCTGGATATACAAAACTGAAGAAACTAAATTTTGAGAGTTTTGAATTCTCATTGTGATAAATTCTTAAACTTTGTTCACTACTTTTTGTGGATAATGTGTGAATGTCAAAAACTGAAGCCACTGTTAGCTATCGCTGCCCACTAAGCTTTATATCCATGTACATTCAATATGCTAATTAATTAGCTCAGACAATATTTCAAGTTAAAATATCAGACCCCAAAGCATACTTTCTCTGAAAAAACAGTGGATTTAGATATGTGACCCTCAAATTATGGGGGGCAGGAACAATTTTGAAAATGTGCTCCAAATTGTTGGTTAGTAAAGTGGTCAAAAGTTTGAACTCCTTTATGTTGATTATACTTTTGTGTATTTCGCTATATCTCGAGAACTTTTTAAGCAAATTAAAAATCTTTTGCATGCAATTATGTAATTTGTTTAGCCAAAGATAATTCCACTCAAAAAATAATTTTTAATAATTATTTTTATTTGAAGCAGGGGGGCTGAGTGGTAGCGCTTCGCACTCTACAGGTCTTGGGTTCGATCCTAGGACCGGTAAAGGTTGACTCAGCCTTTCATCCCTTCAGTTGGTTGATAAAATGGAGTACCAAACATGTTTGGGGATGAAACACTGGGGGTTCTGCGTTCGGTTGACCACCCAACCGAAACATCTGCTCCTGCACCCCAGTGCCTAAGGTCAAGAAAACTGAAAATTGGCACAAAGGCCTTGCCTCTCTATGGGCTGTTGCACCACTGAGTTTAACTTATTTATTATTTGTTATATTTTTTTTAATAATTGTCACAATAATTTTAAATTGATAAATTTTTACATTATTTTAACGAATAAGACAAAATGCAACATTTGTACCTAAGAGATCAAATAATTCCCGAGAAATTTAATTTTAATTAATGATTTTTTAAATATACTATTTTGTACAATTCCATTTCTTAGGAACTATTTGACTGATTACATTCAAATTTTGTTTTTTGATTTAAAAATTTGTATACCTAGCAAAATTTTTTGACTATTATTAAATAAAAATAATTACAAATTATTTTTTGCATAGAATTATTTTTGGCTCAACAAATTTTATATCTCTGTGCAAAAAAAAATTCATTTCACTTAAACTCTTGAGCTATGCATAAAGTAAAATTAATATTAAGGGATCCAAATTTTCTACCTCTTTCCAAACCCAAACTATTGGTACCATTTTTTCTGGATTTTTTTGTGCACTGTACTTTACATTTTTCAATAGTATTTATATAAATTTTATACTTGTAAAAAGGTAAGAAATGCTCTACTTCTAGTTTTTAAATAAATTAGTTTAGATACTGTATAATGTGAATATAATGAAAAGAGAAACAAACTGCATATGTAACACAGCATGGATTACAATTTTCTTTTCTTACTCACACCCTTTTCATTTTGACCTCTAAAATGTGGGCTAAATATGTTAATTTTTCTCTCCCTTCCTTTTTAAAATTCCAAAAGTTTTTGCATCCTTGTGTTATCAACAGAAACAGATAAGAAAATAAAGTTTTGTTGAGCTCACTTTTTTATGCTCCACAGTAATTTATAAAAGAAGTGAAAACATAATTATAAAATATCTTAGTACAAACATTTACGAAATTAAGATGTTATCTTAAAGAAAATTAGTATAAAATTAATTGCCCAAGCCATCCAATTCTGTTAAATATAAATTCAATGTTTAAATATTAACACTCATTTATCAGCAGACATTGTTCCAAAGGTTAATAACTTTTAGCATAGCATAAAATGTTCCATGCACACTAAAAAAGGTGATATTTAGCACCTTGTATTAACAATTTTAATGCAGGTTAGAATGCTAGCTTTTATAGCTCAAGAATATTGAATATGGAGCAATGCAAATCAAAGACAAGAAAATTCCACTTTTTTTTAAATTTATTAAGAAATTGAAGTGAATGCATGTGTGTAAACTTTTTACTTTGTAATTTTTAAACAGTTATGATTCTTACATTACAATATTATTTGTGCAAATCTCTTTCCAACACCTTGTGAATCTCTAGGTATTAGCAACCTCTTTAGGTTAGAACACAATGGTCTTGACACTTTACCTATAGCCACTCCTATTATCAAGAAAGATCTTATATTCACTGTTCTCAAAATCCTGTCAGTTCTAACCACATGTATTTTAGACAAAGATAATTAAAAAAAAACATTTTAGTCACTGCTTAATGTTTTGAGCCAAAAAAATATAGAATATCTAGAATATAGATATTCTAAATAGAATATCTTTTAAATACTACCCTTCCAACTAGCATTTTTTATTATAATTATAACCGTCGTTGAACAGCCGACCTAATTTTGGGTTTACAACTACTAATGTTCAACTCCGTAGTCATGTAAACTTTGAACCAATCCTGAAGACAAGGAAACTCCTGAATCTGTACCCCCAGAGGTATGATTTGTTATGGGAACATTGAGGACTTTGTGACTCGACAGATTCAACGTGCATCAGTCACCATTTTCTATACCTTTTTTTATCTTTGGCCGGTGGGGATCGAACTCATGGCCTCTTGGACATGGTCCCAGTGCCCTACCAACCAGGTTGTCCTGTCCCTCCGACTAACATTTGGAATTAAAAAATAATCACTAATTTCACTGAGTTGAATGGATAGTGGTTATATATATCTATAAATAAATGTGTTTTGTAAAAGATGCACAAAGTGTGTGACTCATTTATAAAACTCCTATATAATTTTTTTAATCTCTAGCCTCATGAATGTATTTTAATTGACTATATTTTTTTTTGTTAGATGTCATGTAGCCATCGTTGCATTTTATCCTGTCATGCTGGTGAATGTGCAAGCAGAGAGAACTGTAAGAAAAAAGTCTCACTTCGATGTCCATGTAAACGAATAAAGAAAGAAGTTATTTGCTCTTCTCTCATAAATAATGAATCAAAAATAATTTGTGACCAAGAATGCTTTGAATATCAAAATTTAATAAAAGAATCAGAGATGAAAAAAGCAAGTGAAATTGATGCAGAAAGAAAACGACAACAAGAAAATGAACTCAAAGAATTTCTAAGAAAAACAGATGGAAAAAAGAAGAGAAGAAAGAAACAAACAGAAACTTTTAAAACTCGTAAAGAATATTCATTACGTCAGCTGGGAGCATTTGCATTTCTTACAATTTTTCTTGGAATTATAATTTATTACTGTGTAAACTTTTGATTTCAAAATTGAAATGCTTTCTAATTTATTTATATATATCTAAAAGATTTTTCAATTTATCAATGAATGAATATTATAAGCCATTTAGAATTTAGTGAAAAGATTTATAAACAGTTCGTCCCAAGACTATGTAAATGTGTAAGAATTTTCGAAAATGAACTTTAACTTGGCAATATTATGTAACTCAACTCTTAATATATGTTTTTTAGGTCATTGTCAAAAATATATTTATACATGCTAAGAGTCACAAATCAATGTTTTGAGAAAAATATATGTTGCATGAATCAATATTAGGGTTAATCATTCATCATGACGAAATTAAAGGTATGAAAAGTAGTTTGTTGATTGAAACCACAAAGTATTTTTATTAATTACTGGTTAGTTTATTAATAATCGCGGAAGTAGTCTTTCAGTTATATCTCTCATGTTAATTTTTGTAATTCTGCTTTAATTGTGCTTTGAAAATTTAGCATTTAATTCTGTTTGTTAGTTGATTTTTTCTTAGTGAAATATTAATTTGGAATGCTTTATACCCCTATATGTAACATTCTCATTTTTACTGTATAGGTTGAATTTTTTTCTCCTTTAAATATCTTTCCTCTGACTTAATTTGTTTTATGTTCCAATGGAATATAATTATAATTTAACTTATTTGTTTTGATTCAATTATAAAATTTTCTCATAGACAAAAAGGTAATCTTATATTTATTTCAAAACTTTGTTTTTAAGGTTTCATCGCTGTGTGTGTTTAAATCACTGTGGACTTTCTGCAGACCAAATTTAAAATGTTTCTTCAAATATTTTTATTTAAATAAGTAATAATATAAGTTATGTATAGTTTGGTAATAAAATATTTTTGTAGTAAATTCTTTTTAATTTATTAACCAACCAAAAATTTTGTATGCAACTTAGTAGTTCTTCATAAGTTATAAAGTATATACTATGAGAAGGGCGCGATTTCGTGGACTAGCAGAAAATTGTTAGTTAAAAAATCAAAAGCTAGTTGGAGAAGTATGCAGTAGCAAAAATTGCTAGTCACCTCTATAGGTCTTGTTTTTGATTTTTAGCTCCTTTCCAAGAGGTTTTTCAAATTCTTATATCTTGAAAACTGTATTATTACCACACATGAGTTTTTAGTTGATATTATTCACTCAAGTTGAAACTATTCATTCACTTTTGCTTTATATTTGATTCTATATTACATTATTAGTCCACGTTATTCAATTATTAATACATGTTGTTTTCTGATTGTTTTCTCGGAAGTTATTTTTCGTTTTTGTGATCCTTTTTATATGGTTTTCCAAATTCCAATGTTGCTAATACAATGTTATTGCAATATTCTAAGTTTGAATTTAAATAATCTGTCATTTTTCGGCAATTGTTAATCTTTTTGGGTGATTTCTACATGATTTTTCAAATCTCTATTAATGTGACATTTTTGCAATACCTGAATTTCTAATTTAAGTTATTACTTTTTGACGCTCTTTATTCGAGACTATTTCATTGTTCATCCACACTGTTTTTCAACTGTTTTCTCGGCAGTTTTTTTTTGTTTTTATGGTCCTTTTGAAATAGCGATGTTCTTCATGATAATGATATTTAAGTAACCATTCTTTGAAAAGCTCAGTTCCCAACTATGCTGACACACATCAGCTTCATTTATAAGCATTTTTACGGCAGTTATTAAAAAATCTATGATTAGCCTGGCGGTCAGCTCAATTCAAATTTGTAAAAGCAAGTTTGTTACTTTATGAAATTTTTATTAAGTTCTCTAGATTTTTGTAAGTTCTCTAGAATCGAACAAGTGACATTATACCCGAATTTGAAAAAATATTTCCTAATTTATTTTTTACAAAGAAAAATTGTGGCATTTGATCTTAAAATCCATATTATGTTAAAAAAAATTTCTATGGTAAAAGTCAAATTACTGACAGAAACTTTAAAAGCTGAAGATTTTAGCATTACTGATACACATACAATTAAATGAACAATTGGCATGTAAGAAAAAAATATGGATTTTGGAAATATGGATGATTTCTAGAACTTGGAATAAATGTTGATATATATTCAAACAATAATAATCAAATATCATTAATTTTAAAAATATTTTTGCAGATTTGAGACATTTTAACAAATTCTAATGTAGAAAATCTAAATATATATATATTTTTTTTTAAATTACCCCCGCCATCGTCTTCTCAGATATAAGGCGTCTTGCAGTCCAGTACAACACTGAAGTAGCTCCAGAAGGTGAGAGGGTAAAAAAAATTATCGCCAAGTAAAAAAATATTTGACTTGTTAAATCTGTCTTTGTCTGCAAGTCTTTATACTGGAAAATTTGCTGTATGCAGGGCCATCCTAAGGGGTAGACAAACTTGACAAATGCGTCACTGGCAAATGAAAAGTACCATGATATGATATTAAAATAATTTTTTTTACAAAAATTTGATTTCAAAATTTAGAATTTTTTTTTATCAGATTTATTTTCTGTATTAAAAATATTACACTTTCACATCATCATCAACTTTTTATGATTATAACTTAAGCATATTAGATAACTATTCTAATATGCTCAAGTTATAATCGGAAGTAGTTGATGATGTTAAGTTATAATCAGTAGTAGTTCTGATTATAAAGCTTATTAGCTTTAATTCTTAAGCTTATTAGATCTATAACTGCGATATTAGATTATAATTTAAGCATGGCTTCTAAAGGGAATAGATTTCCAAGAAGTCTAAATTATAGAATCGCGAAATAAGATGTATAATTTGTCGGACAAAATAATATCGGAATGAAACAGAGATTTTAAAAATTATTTGAAAATCTGAAGTAATAACTGCTGAGAAAGCTGTTCGCAAAATTCATTGTGGAATCGTCTATAGTCGAATGCTTTAAAAAAGGGATTATTTAATTGCAGGATTCGACATTTCGCGATACGTTAAACTGTCTTAAAACGCTGAGAATTTAAAAAAAAAAAAACTGGAAATTTGTAACAATATTTGCCAAGAAAAGCGATCGTCAAAATCACATTGTGAACAGTGTTATTGTCGCTATTCGAGTGCATTGCATGTTATTATTCAAATGAGATATTCGAAATTCGCGGTACATTTTAATAGCACATTAAAATATCGAGATTTTGGAGAGACATCTGTTAATATGTAGTTATAGAGCTGCACTTTGGGCTGTTGTTGATGGTCGAGGATAATCCATACAGGGTGCGTAGCGTTTTTAAAAAGTGCAAGTACTTAAACTATTTTTTGAGTGCTTAAAAGGTGCTTGCTTATTTTTTGTTGAATAATTTGGCTACGCACCCTGTCCGTAGACGTGACATCGCAATTTTGATCCTCTGCAGAGGGGATGGCTTCCCCGCTTTAGTAGCTTGACCTGCTCTCAAAGTCTAGCACTTAATGGTAGAACAGTTTAACGAGGCCCAATACCACACACACTTGGTCCCTTTATAGTCTGATCAAAGTGGTCACCCACTCGTTCACTGACTGATGCTTGACTTGGGTGATCTATTAGGACCCATGTCTTACGCGGGACCTGTTAATCTGTAGCAGCAGTTGCCAAAAAAGCGATCGACAAAGCCACATGATGTTACGGTGGAATCGTCGCTAATCGAGTGCGTGATTTAAAATTCCTGGTACATTACGTTATGATGACATATTCAAACATAGAGATTTTTTTAAGAAAAATACTATCTACTGTAGTATATATTGTTGCAATAGCTGCCGAAAAAGCGATCGACACGGTGGCGTCAAGGTAGAATCGTCGCCAATCGAGCAGGACTACAAGTGATCATTCAAATGCGTGGCTCGAAATTAGCGGTAGGCTATAATGTGATATTGAAACACTCAGATTTTAAAGGCTATGTGAAAATCTGTAGTAATAAATGACAATAACGCCATAACATAAAATAAATGGGGGAACTGTAGAAATTATGAAAAATTGTAATCATTGTGGCCAAAAAGAACTGGGAATTTTATGTATCTGAAAAAAAATAATAAAAATCAGGGAAATGTTAGGAAATTAAATAAAGAAGACCAAAAAAAAATTTTAAAAATACAGCATTCCTTTCCAAAAAATTGGTCTTGTAATATTTTTTTTAAAATTTTATTTTGAACTCTAAGGTGAAAATCGAAGTGATTAAAGCAGCAAAAAAAAGAAAACATGGCGAAGTTATGCCTTATCCTTTTTAGACATATACAGTCAAACCCCGCTATAGTGAACACGGCTTATAATGAACTCCTGGATATAGTGAACGAAATGTTCGGTCCCGTGCCTTGCTATACCCGTATAATGTTATTTTTTGTGGATATAGTGAACCAAAAATGTGATGAAGTTGGATATAATGAACTTTTTTCTGTCTTCGACTGATTTTTTTCTTCATTTTTTTGTAATAATTTTGAAANATTTATTTAAATAATGTATAATAAAAGGAAGGAGTTCAGAAACATTAATTAAACTTCTTTGCGGAACGGATATAGTGAATTCCGGTTATAGTGAACCAAAATTTCGGTCCCTTGAAGGTTCACTATAGCGGGGTTACACTGTATAAGTATTTTGCAAAATATTTTAGAAGAATAAAACATAATTGAAAAATTTGTAATAAAACTTATGCCACCTTTCATCAAGGAAACTTTAAAGAATTCAAGGACAATGTATTATATACAGTGCATTTTTGGATTAATTTTTCAACGTGGTTCATAAACACTTTTAAAATTTCCTCACCTGATACAGCATTGATAAAAAATTAAAGGATAGTATTGAATTTATTTATGAAAAAGTTGTTCCTTCTTAGAAATAAATAAAAAAAAATTGTTAACTGATTTTTTCATATTTAGACGAAAATCTAATCTTACTATGACTCCCCCATAACGAGATTATTTAAAGGACCCGCAAAATATTTTGTCCAGAGCACCATAAAGTTTCAGTTCTGGCGACGTGCTGTGGCTCTTTACTATTGGTGAAATTTTTTTTCTGAACCGATCACAGTGTTTTAAACAGAAGTTTTTTTTATATTCAGTGTGCTAAAGAAGAAAAATTATCTGATGTTGTAAATATTCCATAAAAAATTAAAACTTTGTTTCCAATTACAAATTACTTATGACAACTTCTACCAACTGCTCTAGTTAACTATCGAGCTATAAGAATTACTTATGCATGACGGAAACAAATAACTTGCTGAATCTTTCTCAGACCTTAGAAGTAGAATATTTCTAAGAATTGGACTGTTTTAAAGAAAAGACATATAAAACAGGTCTATAATAAAATTTTCTTGAATTCACTTATAATAACTAAACGCATTTCTCTTTTATCTCCTTTTAACATTATTTCTGAAACAGGCATTCATTTATTGAGAATCTACATAGTATTTTTTAACACAAAAGTATGCATGTTTTTTTTTCTACATTTACTGTATTGATCAATTATTTTACAAGAAAATGTTCAAATTTTTAAATGATTACGAAGGAAGAGAGCGAGAGATTATAATCAGATCTTTTCGTTATGAGTAGTTGATTAAAACGAATATGGAAAATTACAAATTTCAGAGTTGCACGAAAATTAATCATTTTCCTCCTGTGGGGAATACTAACATGAATTAAACTAATATGAACTAATATAATAATAATTAAACTAATATGGTGTGTCATTTTACACTTCAGGTTATTATAAATCAACCTCAGGTGTATTTTGTTCGACTTCAGGAAATTATTTTTCAACCTCAGGTATCTAATTTTATGCTTGTAGAGGTAGTATATATTTTTCAACCTGAGGTGTGTCATTTAATACTTCAGGTTATTTTAAATCTACCTCAGGTGTAATTTTTGGTAGTTGGAAAGGTGATTTTTTACTAACGTGAGGTGTGTTATTTTCAACCTCAAGTATAGGTTTTTATGCTTGTAAAGGAAATTTTTTTAATCAAACTAAAATATGACATTTTTCACTTCAGGTTATATTTTTTTATGCTGGTGCAGGTAATTAAATATAATTAAAATATTTCACCTTAGACTGCTAATTTTTAACCTAAAATATATATCTTTTCACTTGTAGAGGTATTTATCAATCTGGAGTTTTCAATGTTACACATTAGGTAGTAATTACTTAATAACTTTCTACGGTCTGTCTTGATTTTCGCTGCTAATCCTAATGCTAAGAAACTATTTTCTAAGCACATAGGCGGAATACAGCAGAGTCTTTCTTTCGAAAGAATTTTCGACTGATTTCCATGTTTAGTGTGAAGAAAAGTAAAATGTAATGAGAAGACTCTATCTTCCTTTAATTTTGAAATACAACCCATTAGAATTTATTCTTTTTCACACAATTCAGAATAGGAAATTTTACTTAAAGCCTTTAAGTTATAGTTTGTGAACCTTGTGCTAATTTGTAATTAAATAGTCCATAAAATTTATTAATCTTGAATTAACATGTAGAGTTGAATAATATTAAGTATGCTGACTCGTAAACCTTAAGAGAACATTTCAAATATGTAGTATTTCTGTAATTTTAATAAGTTCAATTAAATTATCGTGAAAAGAGGACACATTTGTTACAAAAAAATGTGGGAACTCATTTATATAGGATAGATGTTAAAGGTGCTAATTTTTTTCAAAAGCGAAATAACAGCAAATTTAAATAATTTAGCCAGCTTACATATATAAAAAAAAAGTTAATTTTTCGTTCAAGAAATCAAAATTTTAGACAATTACTCTGCTTCTTCTGCAAGTTGAACCTATAAATAAAAAATTTGAATTAGAGAGAGTCACATTTACGTTGATAACGACAAATTTTAAAAGATTAGAATAATATTTTAGAGCTTATTTTGTTGCATAAGTCACATTTTATTATTATTTCTATTCAATTTTAACTAAATAAATGGTTTCTTGAGTAACAGCAGATGAATAAAAATAATAATAATGACTTGCAAAACTCTCCTGCCAGTATATTTCAATTCTTTATTTTGACTGTTTAAATATATCACTAAAAAAGATAATTTAAAAAATATAAAAACTGCTGTAGAAATAACGCGCTTATTGAAATTCTTAATTTTCCAATAATTCAACCGACCATTTTTCATTATGAATTTTTAAATTTTTTTCTCAATAAATTTTGAATAAATTCAATTACACTGGCCTGCTTGTTTAAACTTTTAGTTCAATTAGAAATTGTACTAAAACCAATTTTCAATGCTGATTCCGAAAATAATTGTCTATCATGTATGGTTTTTAAGAACAAAAAGTCATTTTCAGCCTTTTATTTAATGTGATCAAGAATCAACCATCTTTTAATAAAAGAATATAGGACATCACTTTTTTGTGTTTTTCATGCCTAATCGAAATAAAACCAACTTTAAGTTTATATGTTTACTTGCCTGAGATAATGATTTAAAATAATGCTATAAAATAATGTTTTCAAACATCAAAGATCATGCAAACTAGTATTATCAGTAATTTTTTAGGCGAGAAGATTTCATTGAATCAAAGGAGAATAATTTACTTGTCTTTTTTCTTTTTGGTGTATATTTATAGTTACTCCCAGGATGAAGGCTCTCCAATTACTTGTCTCCACTTCCTCCTAGCTGCAGAGCACGTATTATTGACAGCCTGATTTAAACCTTGAAATTCTGGATGCCATTTACGAAGCAGCTCTATAAAAGTTGTATGCTGTTCAAGTTGAGTAAAATCGAGTCATATAATAGTTTCATAGCAAGTTTCATTTGGAAATTTTTAGATGAGATTTTTTTTAAGAAATTGGAGGAAATTGAAATATATATTTATATAACTTTGATAAGTGACTAATGTTGACTACAAAAGTCGAGAGTCAATACTTTTAAACTTTTTAACTACAATGTAAGCAGATTAATTATAGGTCCACCAAAATGATTTTAATATTTAATTGAAATAATAAAATTATTTTTTAGAATAGCTGTCTCAGTAAATTTGTTTTATACAATGACGTTTGTGGATTAAAGATATAAACGATTTTATTCGAACACACTGTTTATGCGAAAAGTCTTCATGTTCTTTTAGTCTTTTTACGAGTCTTCACGAGTCTTATTAAAAATAAATTGAAAATCAATCCTAAATATTAAACGGCATCATGTTGATCTAGAATAAGATTTAATATTTCGCCTTAGTGGACTAAACGGACAAAAAAGTTTGAATTTTGAATGCCAATTTTTTAAATTGATGCCAGTTTTTCTTCACCTATAGTTGCCTTTTTGCTAACTAACTTCAAATATTATTTAATAGGTGATACACATACAAATACTTTTAAGATACTCAACTAAGCCAAGCTAAGACACAGCAAATAAATCATTTTATAAATAACTTCACTAAACATCCGAGATGGAGAAAAGATTACACATGTTTGTCAATATCTTTTTAAAATCTTAAATCTAAAAATAAAAAAAAATCATTGAATTCGGTGAAATTCCTTTTCTTATTTTAATTATATTTCAACTTTTTCAGAGTGACTTCCTTTAATATTATTTTTAAGGCTAAGTGCAATTATATAGGAAAAGAGATAAGTTAATTTATTTTAAGGTATAAATTTTATAAAAATAAACAAAGGAAGAAATTTTTTTTTAAATGTATTCATGCTTACTAGTCAGGCAATCCCGATGCTGCTAAGGTAGAGGTTTTGAGTCTCTTGTCCCCATACACGACATGCCAGCAAGTTGCTCTACATTAAAAAAGGATTTTGGAAAGTAAGAGACCATCGTGATCAGTTTCTTCTTTCCATGAAGAATGATATTTATTTTATCCACTTTAGAGACTGTAGTCTCACTCTCATTCACCAAAATGACTTATAATAAAAACAAAAATATTTTCAACTCATAACTTTCAATAGAAATTGTATATACATAAATTTAAAAAAATACTTTTTAAAAGTTACTTTATTTAGAATAAATAAAAAGTTGTTCTTATTTTGTTCCCCTCAAAAAAATCCAACAAATTGTGATGAGTTATAAAGCAAGTTTATTTCAAAATTAATAAGGGACTTTACAAAGAAGTGTAGTTATGAATTGAGTAATGACTGAATGCAATATTAAAGCATTTAAACATGAGAATCACTTTGTTTCGTTTTTGTCTCCTGAATACAAAATTTCTATTACATTTTCTTTACTGTTAGTTTACTCTTTCCACAGTCAGTTTTATTCCACTTAATCAAGAAGCAAAAAAAAATTTTTTTGCTTTAAAGTAACTCATAGTTTCGTTTAAAGCTCACAAATTTTGCCACTCTTATTTTTTACCATCACCGAGTTAAAGCACACTTAGATAATTTCTTTTTGTAATATATATATATATATATATATTACGAAAAAAAATTGTATGTTAATCAGATTTAAAATGCAATGTTATTATACATATTTTCACTCGTAAGCTTTGCAACAGATATCCAAGCAAACGATAAGCATACAGCTATAATAGAATTTCAATGCAAAATTGCTATTTTAAAAATTTTTCAATTTTCAGTGATTTATTTATAAGAGAAATTATGAACCTTTTGCTCAATCATCTTACATACTGCTACGTTGAAACATATACATTTAAGCAAAACAAAAAGAATAGTTATATTTGAATAAATTACTAACAATAAAATATACTATGCGTAACCTGCTGTAACGGTTCACCAGTAACGTTACACTAAACAGCGACGAGAGTAGTAATAGCCGGGGTTGGTGCTACGGAAGTGACGTCATCACCCAAAGTCAACGGGAGCTTATTTCTGCCCCAACCGGAAGTTGCTTATTTCTGCCCGTCTATAACCGGAAGTTGATTATTTCTGCCCGTCTATAACCGGAAGTTGCTTATTTCTACCCGCCTACAACCGGATGTTGCTTATTTCTGCCCGCATACAACCAGAAGTTGCATATTTCTGCCCGCCTGTAGTTTCGATTTTA